CCCGGGCCCAGTGCCAGCCCCACGAAACCGGCGGGCGCCGAGCTGCGCCGGGCGTTCCTGGAGCGCTGCCTCAGCTCCCCGGTTTCCGCAGAGTCCTTCCCCGGGGGCGCCGCCGCAGGGGCCGCCTTTCCCTACTCGGTGGCGCCAGCCGCCGCCCCTACCTCGGGGGAGCAGTTCCTGCTGCCGTTCCGGGCGCCGTTCCCGGAGCCCACTCTGCAGCCGGACCCCGCGCCCCTCGCGGCCGCCCTGCACGGCCTGAAGCGGCCGGCCGGCAGCGAGCGCCGCGCCAAGTTGGCTCCAGGCTGCCCGTCGGGATTCGCGGCCGCGGGCGTCAAGAAGCCCAAGGCGATGCGGAAGTTGAGCTTCGCGGACGAGGTGACCACGTCCCCCGTGCTGGGTCTGCGGATCAAAGAGGAGGAGCCCGGGGCGCCGGCGCGGGGCCTGGGGAGCAGCCGCACGCCACTGGGGGAGTTCATCTGCCAGCTGTGCAAGGAGCCGTACGCGGACCCCTTCGCGCTGGCGCAGCACCGCTGCTCCCGCATCGTGCGCGTCGAGTACCGCTGCCCCGAGTGCGACAAGGTCTTCAGCTGCCCCGCGAACCTCGCCTCCCATCGCCGCTGGCACAAGCCGCGTCCGGCGGCCGCGCACCCCGCCGCGGCCTCCTCCGCCGACGAGCAGCCGCCGCCTTCGTCGGGCCCGGACTCCGGGCCCCTGGCCTCTCTGCTGGCGGAGGGGAAGGAGAACGGCCGCGCCGAGCGGACTGCGGATCAGCACCCGGCGGCCAGGGACAGCGCCGGGGCGGATCAGCACCAGGACAGCGCCCCGCGCCCCGGCCTCCAGGGGCTGCCGCACCCCGAGCCGCTGCGGCCGCAGGTCTCCTACGCAGAGGGCGTGTTGGGCCGCCGCGGGCCAGGGCCGGGCAGTGCCAGCGGGGGCGGGGGCTCCGACATCTTCGTGTGCCCCTATTGCCACAAAAAGTTCCGGCGCCAAGCCTATCTGCGCAAGCACCTGGGCACTCACGAGCCGGGCTCGGGCCGGGCGCTCGGGCTGGGCTTCGGCCCGGCTCGCGGCGCTGCCCTGGCCTTCGCTTGCCCGCTGTGCGGGGCGCACTTCCCGTCGGCGGACGTCCGGGACAAGCACCGGCTGTGGCACGCCGTCCGCGAGGAGCTGCTCCTGCCGGCCCTGGCGGGGGCTCCCCCGGAGGCACCCAGCCCAGGCGGGACCGCAGACGGGGCTGCGCAGCAGATCTTCTCGTGCAAGCACTGCCCGTCCACCTTTTTCAGCTCCCCGGGGCTGACCCGGCACATCAATAAGTGCCATCCCTCCGAGAGTCGGCAGGTCCTGCTGCTGCAGATGCCGCTGCGGCCCGGCTGCTGAGGTCCCGAGACTGGAGCCCTCGGAGGTGGCGAGGTTGGCCTGGGAGGGCTTTCTTCAACTTGCAAGTTCACCTTCTCTGTCGCTGCGGTGTTCTCTCTCCCCTAACACTCTTGTATTTTCCCAGTCGCTGTCCGCTGAAAGAGCGGACAGGAAAAGGTCAAAGCCCTCTAGAGCAGGTTTGTGTACGGTATACACATTCCCCTTTCGGAGCCGGTCGGCTTTAAGTCCTTTTCACTTTCCCCACGAAATGGGATTTCACCCACAGGCAACGGCGAACCTAACGAATCCTGTATGCCTTGTAATTCCTATGGAAAGTCGCAGTGAATGCGTGCATGGCTCAATGTCTACGGAGGATTCTAGTTACCCGAAGTGGTAGTCACTCACGTTTTTTCTCTTGTCCTCGCAGGCACTTACATAGCTGTCTCGATAGGGCCAGATGATCTTGCGTGTATATTCTGTGAATTAAAAGTTTTGTGATTGGTGCCAAATTTACAAGAGGAAAAATAAGATTAAAGACCTGTGTCTGGCGATAGAAAATACGAAATGTTTGCTGCTTTGGGGTGTGTGAGATTTCCCCCGTAACTGCTCCCCCCACCCCAATTATATGTATTACACCTCGTTCAGATATTAGTGTGTGGAGATGAAGAGGCTGCTACCTGACTGGAATCAGGAGTTAAAACTGAGACAACCTCCCGATCATTTACCTTCTGCTACTTTGTATGCAGTATTCGGGAAGGGCTGCTTTAAACCTCTTTAGTCTTTGGGGGGGAACCTAAGACTCATTTACTCAAGTTTGTTCGACACCTATTAATTATCATTCAAACTGTTCAATGCTTCTGTTGTAAATCTCATACTGTGTATTATTTATGAAACTATATTCAGCTTAAAGATGTTAATACCTATAATCCACTATGAAATGGAATGGCAATACATTCAATACTCAATACTTTTTCAGCTGCAAGTTGTTTTTCAATTGCTTTTTGTAAAGCATATTCAGTGTACATTCTGAACCTATGCCCCAGTAACGGGAATGTGGTGCACTGGCCAAGCAAGCAGTGCTTGACTGCTCATACTTGTAAAATGCTTACCACCAAATAAATTTACATAGCATGAACTTCGTTGTATTCTGTGTTTCTCTTAACAATTTCATTGAACACAGCCTACTTTCAAAGCCACATTTCTTATCTGCCCAATACCAGCATTCTACTCACTTGCTTCTTTTGATAGAATAAATTCTATTTTGCAGATGAATGTAATGGTACAAAAATACATAGGGAAAACTGTCTTTTAAGTACAGTGTACACACTGAGTTCTTCCAAGGGGCAATATGGACTATTCTTTAAATCTAAAAAGACACTTGTTTTCCAACAAATGTAAATCGAAAATAACTTTTAAATTTACTTAAAAATAAAAACTTCAGAACCAAGTGAAATATCTATTTGAAATTGGTCTTTTCACCCCATTTTATTACATCTCATCAAAGTATTAATTGCTCAAAAAGTCATTTTAGAAATGTATAAGTCGTTACTTTTTCCTTTTTAAAATTCTTAAACTTGAAAAAGTAGTTAAATGTCTATACTATTAAATAGTCTAGGAACTCACATACATATATTTAAAGTATAAGCTTTCAATAGTTTTATAAGACTTTAACTTTTATTAAAAACAAAACAAAAGAGCAAGCACAAAGGAAGTCTGAAAAATTGTTTTTCAGAAAAACTCATCTGTACAAAGTTTTGTTCATAAAAACACAGTATAAACTAGAGTGAAATGTAATGAATCAAAGAAACATGAGCTGAGGTACACTGGTGATTTGACCCAGTGCGCTGAGCGAAGTTTTTGACTAGCTCAAACATGCATATTACTTCCGGTGCTTGTACTGACTGTAGTAGGATCTCGGTGAAATAAGTTGGGGTGCAACATGAGAAGGCAATTCAAATTCATGAAAAAAAAATTGACTAAAATAAACTAGTTTTATCCTTTATCTATCTCCATTAACCATATAGCCCTTTACAAATATAAGTATATATGAAACATAAAAGAATCAACACTAATAGACAGGAAATGATAAGAATATTTTTATTGTATTATTAAATATCATGTCATCTCCCCCCCACTGTTACAAATTTGTAGATACTACACGAATGATACATAATTTATATTTTACGGTTTGCCCGTGTGATATATTTACACTTGCAGTTAGTAATGATGTCATGCTACATTTCCTTAGGAGATGCCCATTCCAAACAATATGCGAGCAGCCTGTGACCACTTTATCTAATACAGGAAAATACTTCAGGAGGGTGGAATGCATACTGACCTGCACCTACAAGGTTCAGTACTGAGAATATTAGATTTTATTTAGAATCCAAGGTTATATTCCTTTTTCTTTTAAAATAATATACATAATCTGAGCAACACCTTTACATCAGAAGTCTTTTCTTTCCTCCTTTTACTGCTTAACAAAGTACAGAGATACACCGGGATCTAGTAGCCAATAATAAAGGGCCACAATTTCAAAGAAATGGCATTTGATCGTGATATCACTTAAAATCCGAAACATTAGAAAATTTGTTTGGAATCTAAACATAAATCAAAGTTAGCACAGTGATTTTTCTGATTATTGAACAATAAATGAAACATTTCTTTGGGAAGAAAAGTTAATGCTAAAATTATTTTAGTTGGAATCTGAGATGCTAAAAGATCATTTATTTTAAGTGTTTTATTTTCATAACATAAATAATCTGTACACATCCTGTGTATTTAACAAATTTTGAACTTTTGCTATAATTTTACAAATGCCTAAATTAAAAATTTTACATTTGTTAAAAAAAGGGATATATTTATTGAGCCATAAAACTATAGTGGGACACAATAAATAAAATAATGAGACTACTTGTCCAATTATATTTTGGCTCCAAGTTAATCATGAAATTAAAAGTGAAACTATTTAGACATAATTTTCTAAGATAAAGGAAGATAAAGGGTATAGAATTAAATTCTATGCACCCCTCTAAAAATATTGACAGTCTGGAGTGTGTGTATGGGGGAACCAAACTGAACAAGCAACCCATATCTAAAATATTAAATTACAAATTATTTAAATCCAGTGTTTTCTAAAATAAATGTGCAGGAAGGACCATGCATTTTATGCAGACATGAAGGCCTAACAGGGTTAACACTATGTTCAGCTAAGGTGCTAAGGTGGCTACTGCGCGGATCACTGCAAGGCGGCTTGTCGCCTTAGGATTTATTGGCTGAGCCAGAGGAACGACGCAACTTCATGGACATGCGGCTCTTGCTAGTTCGAGGGGACATTGGAGAGGTCAGATCAGCCCCATCTACCTGCGCTGCTGTTGGAGTTTCACTGGGTAGAATCTCTGGGTAGACGCCTGTGGGAAACAGCAAGACTATTAGTACCAATTATCCAGACTCTCATTCAGTAAGAAGTCATCTTTTTGCTACTGATATGTACCATGAATGCCAAACCTTAATGAGCTCTTCTAAAGGGGAAATTCAAAACTTGTTACAAGAGCCTACAAATACATTTAAAGTACAGTGGTCTGATGGCTCATGTCATCATATTAGCAAGAAAGCAGCCATCTCCAGAGCCAGAATCGACCAGAGAGCTCCCTGGAAAAAAGCAGTGGGAAACAAAATCTTCGGGCCCAAGAAACAGGGTTCCACAGCATGCAGGGAAGGGCTCAAGCAGCAGCTGAGAAAGACCCACTCCTATTCCAGGGTTCAGGGAATAGCAAAAACAGGGTCAACACTGCTTAGGCTTGAAGATACTAGCACCCTCCAAAAAAAGGACCCAGCCCTTGAAGAACATCACCCATGCTAGATGTACGCTTTCCGACGGAGCAAGGGAAGTTCCCGGGGCGATGGGGGGGGAGCAGGAGAGGGCAAGATTCTCATCTGAAAGTCAGTCAAAAAAGATGAACTGACCCCAGAAAGTACTTTAAGTTAAAATTTCCCAGTTATCCTATTCAGAAAGTGAACTATTCAAGGAGGTAAACAGTAAAAGTAGTAGATAAAATTTTTTAATTTTTAAAGGAGCAAAATATGTTCAAATGGGAAAATTCTTTGTGTAATATAAAAAGCCATTATTTCTATGAGTTGTGGTTTTCTAATACATAGCAATAAGAAATAACCTTGCAAATTTTAGGTTCCCAAATTTTTTCTGAATAAAGTGGTTAAATTAAAATTTTAAAAGTCTCAGAAAAAAAAGTAGATCTGCAAACATAACATCATCAATACAAAATTCTGTATATTGTAAGGTACTTTTATCCAGATATTCTGGCTCTTATGGACATGAATTTTTTCTTTATGTGCCCCGCAGGTGGCAGAGCCTTAAACTTCTGAAACATCTCATTACTCAGTAGAGAGACTTTTGACTTCATTGACATATCAGGCTTGGAAATAATTAGGCTATGCACTTTCATATGCTGAAACGTTATGTTTATACTGAAGTGATGAATATTTGGAAGAGGGAAAAAATGATCATAAGGGGTGCATATCCACCATGCATAATTAAGAATGTATCTCTGTAAAACATTTCAAAGTATTTAAGGCTACATGTTATATTAAGACCAAATACATTGCCAAGAATAAAATACTTTGTCACTTAAAATCCACATCAACTGCCCTCTTTATCAAAGCAGATTCTCCAACATTTAGTCTTTTCTGATTTGCTGAGGTTGGCTTTCTAAAAAATAAGCAGGAAACATGTTTCTGTCCACTGTTACTCTCTTGCTGGAGATCAGAATGGTTTTGGCCTGAAACTGGGAAATCTACCGGAGAACATGAATCGCTGGCCCTCACTGGGAAGCACTGCAGGTGGATGGCAGAAGAAGGTGAGGAGCAGTAGCTCATGCTTTTTGAATAACGCATCCTATTCCCAGCCATCAGGAGAGCTCTTCCCACGCTGTTTACCTTGAGTTGGCCAATGTTTTCTAGCGGAGGTTTTGGGAGGAAGAGAACTATCACTGCATTTCTTTCTT